CACATGAGGGAACAGTGGGAAGTGTAGGTTCTTCCTCAGGTGGCCCACGGCGCCCCCACACCAGTCCTCGAACACGTGTAAGTTCACCTGCCCCTTATACTGTGGGGAAGGGGTCTTACTTTCCACGTGGGACCCCCCAACCCTCCCCCCAAGCCTCAGGCTGCAGAACTCACCTCCTCCCGCCACGAGGGTGCCTGATGGGTGAGGTTCAGGGGGGGCAGCCTTCCAGCCCCCCCAGAAAACAGCATGTTCGGGTCCCGACCATTGGGCTACAGGAGAGAAAGGGCCTGGAGTCAAAGCTGAGAAATGTGAGGGCAGGGAGGGGGTCTCACAACCACAGGCATCCCACTCCACACAGTCCAGGGCACAGCCCCACAGACACAGCACCCATGCGACAGGCTCCTCAGGCCCCCATGTGCCTGTGTCTGGGCCGTGCTCGGTGCTGGAGCTCGCCCCAGCTGCACCTGGTCCTCCATGCACGTGGCCCACACGAGTGGCCCCAGGGTCCCCCGAGTGCGGAACACAGGTGCTCTCTCCCCTCTCACCGCCTGCTCCTCCTCACGGCTCTCGCTGGAGTCCTCTGCCCTCTGCGTGGACAGTGCAGCCCGGACGCCCCGGCCGTCTGTCACACTGGTCAGCTTCTCACCATCTGTGAGTGACACATGGGGTGTGACCGGGGCCCAGGCTTTCTCCAAGGCCAGAGCCCCTGCTGCTGGGGTCAAGCACCTCCATCCCACACGGCTGCCCCAGGGCAGGAAGGCCAGTGTCTCCTGCCTTATGCTCCCTTGTGCTACCAGCAGCCTGCCCACCCTCATCAGGGACCAGGGCTTGTTCTTTCTCCCATATCTGGCTGCGGGGGGCGCGGGGGGGGGCACCGGAGCCTTCTACCTGGCTTTTCCCAGGCCCCTGGCTGGTGTGAGGGAGCAGAGTTATATGTGCGCACACACACACCCATCTGGCCATCCTCATCAGTGGCTTTGCCTCCAGGAAGACCCCCAGGACTGCTCTGTGCTCTCAGCACCTTTCCCATATGCTGGAATGTTTTGTGTCTGCCTCTCTTTCCAGACTGGAGAGCTAAGGGTTGGTTAGTGCCAGAGCTTCTTGACTTGAGGCTAAGCTGCCCCAGCTGTGACAGTGGCACCTGCTGCCCTTGAGGCCAGGGTCTGGGACGAAAGGAGCCCTGGCACCAGCCTGGGCAGAGGAGGGCTGGCATGCTGGCCTGGCTGCTGGAGGATCTGAGGCCAAGGTGGCCCTGGAGGGAGACTGTCCCTGGGAACCCTTCCCAGGTCTGTCTGTGGACAACTCCAGAGCTTGGTGACCCCAAACCCCCTAGCCTGGGGCAGACTACCTCTGCACCCCCAACTCCTTCAGCTCCCCACACTTCCTTCCTGAACATTCTCCACCCCATCCCCTTGGGGTCCAAACCCGGGATCTGAGCCTCCGAGGGGAGATTTCACTATACCCCACCTCTGCCCCTCCTAGAGGCAGCTGACCCAGGAGCCCCCCTCTGCTCCAGGGCCAAGCCTGGGCTTTGACATCCATGCCCACCCCTCAATCCAGACCCCAGGAGCTGGATTCCAGTGTGGACACAATTGTCCCGGGCCCCTTCTCTGGGGGAAGATGGCAGCCCATGGTCTCCTGCCGATGAGAACCCTGCGGGACCTGCCCACCCGCTCTCCATTTGGGTTCTCACCCCAGTCTGTCTCTGTTCAGCTGGGAGGTGAGCCCCAAAGGCCTCCCAGCCAAATCCCCACAGCCTGGCCCTGAGCCTCACTCCCACCAAGCTGCCCATGGGTCTTGGGAGCCTTCTGCAGTGGGCTCCCAGCCCAGGCTGCCACCACGGTCCTGCAGTGCTCAGCCCCAGCCCAGCAAGGTCCAGACAGGCTCCCTGCCTCCCGGCTTACTCTCCCTTGGGGACGCCTGCCTGCACAGGCGGCTGGACACCGGGACGGCCTCCTGCCCCACTCCAAGGCTGCCTCCTCGGTGGAGGTGCAGACCACATCGACCTACAGTCAGGATGGCCTTGGCGCATCCAGCTGCTGCCCTGGTGGGGGCCCAGCGGCTGGACAGTAGGTGGGGCTGCAGCCCTGGGGGCCGGGAAGGCTCCTGGAAGGTGCCCCATGAGGCGTAGTCTTCCAGGACCCTGAACAGCTCCTGCCCACAGGGCTTCAGTGGCTTCAGAAGTGGGGTTCCCACGCCTCCACCCCTCCCATTTGCTGAACTAGACTCCCTGGCTGCTAAGGAAGTCTGGTTGGGGAGGACTGTGGTTGCTCAGAAAACCACACAGGCTGTTCAGCAGGGGCTGGTTTTGCTCTGTGTCACTGGGTCACGCTCCGGAGTCTTGCTTATGTGCTGAGAGCTGGGGTGGAGGTGGGGGTGAGC